ATATTTCATAAAATATCAACAATAGTTGAAGCAATTGAGAAAAAGAAAAATGAGAAAATTTTATTGGAAAAAATTGATGCAGGAAATAGAAACAAAATTCATTTCAATTTATTTTTAAAAAATAATTCATCTTTTGGATGCAGAAAGATGAAATTTTTGTTCAAAAAATTAATATTTAGTGTAATTTCAATCAAAGTTATATTCTCGCAATGAAATTGGCAAGAATTATAAAATAGTTAATTAACAATTCTATCCATCTTCGTCAAACATCCAGCACCGACTTAATTGTGTGTTAAATTATAATTCACTTCGTGCTTCCTTTTTTTTTTATGAGTATGCTTTCAAATTTAGCAACAAAAAAAGATTCGAGAATATTTAATTATCAATATTCCTACTGTAGATCAATCATGCTTAGAAAATAGCATAACTGATAATTTGTTATAGGAAAACTAGAAATTAGAATTTGGATTCAACAAATTTATTCTTACAAAATTTAGAGAAAATGAAGAAAATGAAAGAGCTAGAAGTTAAAATATACCAAAGAAATCTCGGAACTGAGAACGAAGAAGCGAAAATAAAAAAAAAGAAAAAAAAATCCTATAATTTTGTATTAAAAAAAAAACTCAGAATTACCACTCAATAAAGCAATTTAAAATAGTTTATGCAATTCAAATCCTATAAAATAATTGAAATTTGAGATGATATAGGATAAAAGTAATAATGAGTCATATCGTCAATTTTACACAAAACTTTATTGTTATAAATTTATTTCAAAGTGAAAGATAATACAACAAATGTAAATTAAACGAGAAATTCTGTAACAATTGTAAACAATTATATTTTAATTAAATAACAAAAAAAGGAAGATTATTTAATAAGAAAAATTTATTTATTTGTTGTTGTTGTTTTTTTCTGAAATAAAATTACAGTATAATATTAATTGGTCCCATTTGTTCAATGAATCATTGGAGCCAATATATACGATTGGTAATACGGATGTTCGAAATGTTCGGCAATCAAAAGATGAGCAAAGCCTATTTAAATCAACATTTACCAATACAACTCAACGTGAACAGGAATATTCATTTAAAACAGAACGTTCAACACGTAGTGCTGCAACGGTAATAGTCGGTAAGATGTTTAACTTCATTTCCGATCTGTATATGATTACTTTGTAATACCTAATTAACAATAATGAAAATTATAATCCAGTTAATTGTTTATTAATTGTAATAAGAATTATGCTAGAATGATTGGAAAATTTCTAGAAATTGATAGTGAGAAAATATGGAAATTCTATTCAGCTGAATAGTCCTTTAAAAGTTATAACATTTTCTTTCATATCATTTTCTTTTCTTTTTTTTTGACGGAGGGAGAAAGAGAGAGAGAGATGAAAAGAAAATCAGAAATACAGTTATAATTTTTAAATTCTTGCATATTTCTCTACATGTTATTTTAAATATTAGAAAATTGTCAATTTTAAAGTATCAAATGTGAAAACTATTTTTTCGGTACTATACTACTATGAAATAATTTTTTTTTTCACTTTAGCGGATCAAATTTCTGATTTAAAAACAAAACAATGTTAGCGGAATAATAAATAATGGGAATTTATTTTGCAGAGAAAGGTGTATCTCGTGGAATTGAAATGGCATTGAAATTAAAAACTCCAGGTGAAGTAGTGGAAGCTAATGCTGGATTTAATACCGAATTAATGGTGATGAATATTGGCGAAAATACAATTGAGGAGGAGCTTGTATGGGGTGTGGATAGCACCGTTCGGGTACCACCACTTTCGGAAACTGTTGCAGAATTGATCATTTTAGAAGATCATCAAACTAGGCTTGTTTTACTTTTCTCTCTTCTTCTTCTTCATTCTAAAATTATCTTTAAAATAATTGCAATACATATTATCGATCAAGTAGTAATAAAAAATTTTAATAAAGGATAGATAAAAATGAAATGATTTTGACTTTCTACATTTGAAAGGATGTAATTGAATGATCGACTAATGGTTGCTTTATCGTTGCAATATATCCGTTATGAAGTTATATTAACAATTCTCATATTTCATTAACTTCATTAATTCTGATGAATTCATTTATTTATGACGTAAATAAGAATTTTTTTTTTGAAAAAAGAAGATGTGATTTATTGCTTCGTAAAGTTCGCTTCGTAAAGTTTATTTGCAACATATGTTTGAAAAATGTTAATACATGAATTTGAGTGAAACATTAATCATAAATTGAAAATCTAGAAGGATGTGACTTGACGGTAAGAATGATGATAATTATTTTGAATAACTAATTCCTTAGTCCGTTTCAATTAAAGTGTAACTGGACACTATGATATTTTTTTCAGAAATTTTTCTATCGAAAGTCATATGTCAGGTCGAATTATCGTTACGGTAACAAATGTAAAAGATAATAATAATTTGGTGACAATAATTGAAGGTAAAATTGCTGATATCATACGCGGTTTAACAAATTATTCATCGTTAGGCTTCACAGTACAAAATGATGTAAGTTATTTGTTGTTGATTGAACTTGTAAGTTCCCCTTTTTTTTTCAGATTTAAGTTTCATTTGAAAGATTGCAAAATTTAAAATATGTGGCAGAAATTCTTCCCATTCCTGTTCCTTTTTTTATCAACATAATTTATTGTGGTAATCATCATGTGGCTTTAGGCTTCAAAATAAGCTTTAGACATATTGGATTGGTTACTTCATTACTAATTCACTGCTGATGATTATGCATTATTTGAGCTAATTAGCAATTCAGCTCTTTTCAAGTACCATCAATCACTTCAGCCATTCCCTTCTATTTTATTCCAAATCATCCATCAATCCCCAACTCCAAAACAGCCCATTGTCCGAGAAATAGAACTGAAATTTAGTCCAAACATTTTGTGAACATGGAAAAAAAATGAAAAGTTTTTGCTGTAATTTTTTCACATTTTCATGTTTGTACTCTCAGAAACATAAGACTTGAGGTTGAACAATTACTTATATTTTAATAACAACTACTATTAATTACAGGTTGTTTCATACACAACGAAAGGGATATGCAAATTTAAGTATGGTGTGGAGCAAAAGGTTAAAATAACGGAACACTCCGTACGCAAATACTGACTCCCACTTAAAATCCCTGTAAACTATACTTGTAAACATCTTGTTCACATTATTTTTGCTTCCGTTGTATCTTTCATACTTACTGCTATGTGGATAATTACATACTGTTCAATTTTTTCCAAATAATTGTCCACTTGCAGAACAAATTGCTTCAAATGAAACAAAACGCGTACGTGAAAATTAATTTACATGCCGATTATTCTGAAATCCTCCACCACCCAAACCGCCCGATAATTCATTTAGCTTTTATTAAATCCTTAAATTTCATCTCCGACAATGCAGGACTCCCCGAACCATATTTTTAATCCAATATTATTCCTACTCGTTTCAACACTCAAAAATTTCGATCCCATGTGAGACAATCATTGCAACAGGCAAATATAACCTTTCAAGATATCCTATTAAATTCTAAATTAAACACCTTAACCCGAAAACTACCCCTGCAGATAGAACTATACGGCACACAACGAATCCAAAACGAGAATGGTATTCACGTGCGCAACAGAAATCAGCGTACCACACACGCTTTGTCAGATAAACACTCAGCACATTACTCCTGACCTTCACCCTCCACCTATGTATTCCTGCGTTAAACCTCGAACTCACAAGAAAATTACTCGCCCAGTACTTTCTTTCAGAAATTTTATCAAAATACATCTTTGACCTTTCGAATATTCATAATGATCTCCTATTTCATACAGACTAAGCACCGCTTATCTAAAAATCAAAGCAAACAACCGAATAATGCTAACTGAATGGTAAAATATTATTAGACTCTATTATTTTTCATTATCTAAAATATATTAACAAATAATTCAAAATTTGTTTGAAACCAAGCAACTATTTAAAAAAAAACTTTTAACACAAAAATGCGTTTACAAATGCACATAGCGCTAGTTAAATAATGGATTTGGAATATAGCACAGGTTTGATGTGAAAATCATTCATCGGGTAACAGATTTAAAAAAATCACTTTCAAATTGCATGGTGAAAAACACAAAAGTTGAAACAAAACGAAAAGACATATCAAAGCAATGATGGATAACGGAGACAGTGGTAGTGCTAATCTCCTTTTTAAAGCACTTGATATATTTGAGATACATTTATTCATGAGAAAAGATTGCTTAAAAACAACACTCGACAAAAATAAGTGTGTAACTTAATGATAGAGAGATATACATATACACGAATATGTATATATATATACACTCACAAACAAAACGAAAAAAAAATGCAATAAAGCATTGGAAGAAAAAAAAACAAAAAAAACCATACAGGAAAATGCATAAAATTCAGTCAGAAATAATCGTTTAGAATGAAACAGCAAATGGTGATCCCGGTATATTGGTTTCACCATATTTTACAAAAATAAATCCTTTGACCCTTTCTTGAATACGATAGGTAACTGCATATCGACCACTGCCCAGATGTCGTACTGTAACCTCTTCACACGGTCCTTTTGATGTAAGCACACCAACAAAGAGAAGATTTTCACCTGAATAGCGAAAAATGATTTAATAAATGTTTTTCTTTATAAAAAAGCTATCGGATCAATCTACCAAACTAATTTTCCTAACAAAATTTTTAGAACTACTGTATCATTTTGAAAAGAAAGGAAAAACAAATTTACATCACTTATAAGTAAATGAAATCGTAAAAGAGATAAACCTGCAAGAGCAGTATCGATGTTGAACGCAGCTGGTCGACCTGGGAAAAATTTATTCAAACCGCTACCTTTCACGGTAACCTTACTCGCATCTCCCTTCAATACCGGAACCTGTGAAACCGTTCCCTTACTTGTCTTTGCTAGTGCATCAATCTGAAATTAGACATATCCTTTGTAAGAGAACTTTTAATCCACTATTCTGAAAAAAATAAAAAAAAAGTCCACAAAAAGAAGTCCTAACAGTAATAACACCACCGCCATCTTTATTATCTCCCGCTTATTCTCTATAGCCCATAACATCTTAGCAATCAAAAGTTTTGACGAGAAAAAAAATCATCAAAGTATGATTGGAGGATAACCTTAATAAGCGAAGTATCTGGCTCACCACCACCACCAAGTTCCTTACCAGTCATCATCATTTTGAATGGTGAGCCAGGAATATGAACACCTGAAAAATGACATGAAACTTGTTGAATCTGAGATGAAATATATTCATTCATAATGAAGTAGTGGTGTCTATGATGATATTTTTTAATCCATTATTCAAAAACATTATAAACGCAATATACCTGCATATTTGATGTCCACAAAATATGCTCCAGGCGCTAGTGCCATATATCGTACCTTATAACCCATTTCCAGCTGTAAATTATTTATTATCTGGTATCAATTTGTATAGAGAAGAAAAAGAATGATATAACAGCAAATGCTGAATCAATAAAACTGTCTGATTAGTTTAATTAAGAGTAAGCTTAAATGCAAGATGGTTCAATGCTAAATCATTGAATCAGTCAACCTTTTAGCCGATCGTACTTTCTGATGGAAAGAAATAATTATGTAAATTCATTCATAAAATACAAAAAATACGAGCAGCACAACGATGTTGGCAAACCAATTAACCTCATATGCGTCCAAAGTGACTTTCGATGGTCCATCAATTTGAACCTGCAGAAGTCCACTCCCAGCATTGCAAGTATTAATAATAAATTCACACTTCTGGCCAGTTTGTCCACCGTGTATACCGTCACCGCTTACTGTTATTGCTGTTGGATCACTCTCCTCACTTGCACCGACACGTAAACGAAACGGTGATTCACGCATCGGTGCACCATCAAGCGTCACATCAACATAATAGTTTCCTGTCTAAAAAAGAGTGATTAAAACTAGAATACCCTTAAAATTTTAGCAACCAATGATTTTGATTTAGAAATAAAAAATTTACCTCTGTTGGAATGAATCGTAAAGCATACGATTCGCCTTCGTCGATTGGAACAATATCAATTGTTTCAATCTTATTACTAGGTGTATGAACTTTCGCTTCGAGATGACCCGCTGCACGATGCGTAAGTACAGTGAAAGTGCATGCTTTATTCGGCAATCCAGAATCTGGGAATGATGCTAATTCAAGCCGACGAGCTTCTCCCGTTGCGGGAGCCACAAACACCTTAACAAAATGTCTTCAAAATTCTAAAAAATAAACACGAAATATGCGTGGAATAGTCGAGCAGATATGAATACAGAATATTTAGCATCCACAATTATTAAACATTCTAAAATTGAAAAAAAATTATACAATTACTAACTTTAAATGGTGAGTCCGTTATATGTTCATTGTTAAATTTGATACCTATCAGATATTCGCCAGGCTTGCTAACTTTGTAATTAAAATGGCAATTTCCATCCTAAAAAAGTGATATTACTGACATAACACATGGATTTCATTTGTTGCATCTAGTTCGTTCAAACATCCGCTCATTAACTGACAAATTTCAATAAATTTGGTAAAATTTTCCATCTATAATGAAAGTTTTTTCTTTACGAAAGAAATTATAATCGAAGTAAAATATCTGCATCGGTCGAAACTACTCATAACTGTTGAAGCTACAGTTCATTAAAACATTATGAAAGACATAAATAATCTGGATTAAGACATGTATACTCACCTTATGCTCATGAAATTGCAATTCCGCTTCCGATGGTCCTTCTATGGTAACTCCAAGTTCTCCTCGTCCAGCTTCTCTGGTATAAACATTAAATGATTGCTTCATGTTCGTTTCTCCTCGTAGTATTCCAACTCCTGCTGCACGCACTTTATGTGCTCCTACTTCTGTGATATGTCCAACAGTATATTGGAACGGGCTTCCTGAAATTGAAAAGAACTTCCAAAAACGTTTCTTTCTTCAAAATGTTTTATGTTTTCGAAAGAGTAGAGATTTAGATTACTGAACGAATGAATAGATGGCGACTTACCTAAAACATGCTGTCCTTTATGGAATACAGAAACAGCATGAGAACCATCCATTTCAGGCTTGAAGCTAATTTGATAAAGGCTATCACCAATATCGCGCACTTCAATATCGTAGCTTTTTCCGTTAGGATCCATAACTTTCGCTTTTGTTTCCATTGGAGAGGTATTCTCCAATTTTAGATATAAGGCAGCATCCTGCTTGGGCAATACTATTGGCGCCTTAAAACAGTTTACTACTGCTTGATCTCAGAGTGGTTGTTAACGAAAATTAATCTGTTAAGCATATTTTAATTCAATTTGCGACTTGAATGCTTGCACAAAACTTAAACATTTACCTGATTCACCTCCTTTTTCGCAGTTTTCTTCACAGAGCCTAATCCCTTACCAGTACAATTAACAGTGAATGGACTATCTGTAAATATAAAAAATTGTCATCTTCACCGCATGATTTAAAAAAGAAAACGAGATAGTGACTGCAACGATTAGTATCCACTAACCTTTCACATGTACATCTGCAAATTTTATAGATAAAATGTAAATTCCCGGTTCCGTCGGTTTGTAGGCGATATTAATTAAACCTTCCTTTGCTTCAGTACATTTCAGTTCAGCTTTCGATGGCCCCTCAACAGATATAGACAGACCGCCATAACCTGGAATTAAATTAGATACTATTAGCATATAAATCATTTTTTTTGTAATCGCGAAAATAATTCTAAATGACCTGCATTACGCGTATCAACCACCAAATCGTTGTACTGCTGACAAATAGCGTTTGCCTTTCCATTACCACCAACAATAACTTTCGACGCATTTCCAACCTATAATAAATTTCACATCATTTACAGCCTACTTAAATGCGTACCTGTAATTAAACAAAAATAAATAACAACTTACTTGGCTCTTATCAACTTTAACTCGAAAAGGTGACTTTGGTATGATTTGACCATTTTTCTTAACAGTGAATAAATGTTCGCCTTCCTCACGTGGAGTAAATGAAACACCTAAAAAATTATGCACAGATGACCATTTCCAGTTAAAACGTTACACATAATTACATATCAAATCCCAAAATTACCGCTAAATATAAAATATCGAGGCTCGAAAAACATATGTAGAAAAATCCCAAATATAGAGGGTGACAGAAAAGCAATGATCATTAATACCAATGGTTGCAGAATCGAGATGACGGATGAAACATGGCTCTTCAATACCACTTGGACTTTTTATTGAAGCTGATAGCCCTTTGATTTCCGTATGAGCAACATTCAATGACACCTGTTAATAGGATAATATTCCGAAGGAAAACTTAAACAACACCGAATATATGAGATTGATGCTTTAACAAAGGAAATATTTCATCAGTGAAATAAGGGGAACAACGATATCATTGATTACGTAGAAAATGTGAAAATGAAAAAAAACCTCCGACGTTGATCCAACCGATAAATGGGCACGTTTCTGACCTTCACCAGCCACAACAACAGCAAACGGTGAACCTTTTAGTGGTTTCCCAGCAAGTTTGATATGCACTTTATATTCACCTGGAACCGGTGGTACCCACGCCACTGAGCATGTACCATCCTGCAAGAAAAACAATTGAATAAAATTTTGGGAAATCTCCTATCATTTTGATGAATGTAAATCGAAATATTACTTTATTATCATGACATTTGATTGTTGCCTTTGCAGTTCCTTCAACCGCAACTGATAATTCCTTAGCCGGTGAACCTTTTGCACAAACTGTGAATGGTGCCGGTTCACCAACTACCGCATGCGTTAACCCAGCACCATATACTGTCACATATCCGTCAGCCGAGTCGCTAACATAAAATGACATTGGACTTCCGGACATGTTAACTCCATCATGCTGCACTGACAGAAGATGATTGCCGCACAATTTCGGTCGATATGTCACTGTTACACTTCCGTCAGTGTTATCCTATAAATTTTAATAAAAAGATTTAGTATTTGAAAAGAAATTTAAGAATGTGATTTTTCTCTCTATAGTTGTCCAACTTCCTCAATCATTTTTATATTTAAAGATCTCTTGTTAAAATTTTCTACACTGATATCTTTCATTACAAAGTGCAACCTAGACCAAAGCTTAGGTAATATCTAGCCTGATGACATTTATATACAATATAAAAATTCTCAAAATTAACCTTAATATGTGCAACATCTTTTTTACCGGATGGCATTTTCACTGACGCACTTAGTTTATCAAAATGATAGTCACAAGTTAATGAGAAACGAAAGGCAAGTGGCACCAAATGTTTCTCAACGTTGTAAAAGTGCTCTTCCTCAGCGTTGTAAAAGTGCTCCTCCGAGTCTGTCTCGTATCTCAATAGTGGTATTTCAGGTTCACTAGAAATAACTGGTCCGCACTGAAAAAGTACGAAAGATTGTTACATAGATTACATCGCAATTCGTTGTCGAACAGAAACAGGTGAAAAGTAGGAAATGATTTTAAAGGCTTTAAAATGGTTGCATCATTTTTCATTACAGCATATCACATTATAAACAAGAACAACTGCTTTCAGAAAGCAGTTGTTCATTTCATAACATATTTCTGTTTTCAAACATCATGAATGCATTGTTTCCTCTTTCCAAAAAAGAAAAGCATCTGGAAAAATGCCTTTCGCGATTTGCTTCTTAAATTGTGACAATGACAGGAAGATTTTAGTGCAGTTAGAAAATCCTCGAAATTTAATACCAGAACAATCTCATTAAGTCACATAATTATCAAAATCTAAGTTGGAAGCTATAACAAATTTCAATATGCATAAAAGCATAATCACACTAAAAATTCTAATTAAATCAACTGTCAAAGCATTATCTTAAAAAAAACCCAATTTAAATTTTTGGAATAAAACTCGCAACTGCTTGAATAAGATTGAAAAAGATGAATGTACAAAAATAGAATATTGAAAAATAGTCACATTTTTCTTTCATTCAGCGAAATAATTCAAAATTTCCAGTTTTTTTGGAAAAAAAGAAATTCCAAAGAAATGATGCTAACAAAAATTGGTGAAATAAATTAAAATAAAATGATGTAAGTGCCAATGCAGCACATTCTGCTATTTATCAATTTAACGAAAGAATTAATCCAATATCTGTATTAAAGTGTTGCAACACATGAGGAAAAAATAAAGAGAATGATATGTTTTGTTTCTTTTACTCTAACTTGATTATTTAAAAGTAATCAATGAAATGAATTGACGAGACTAGAGCAAATCACGTTTTTGAGAAAATTGATATTTAAAGTTCTATAAGAGAGATAGACAGAACAATCTAATGTGGGCGGAAGATTCCCTGACAGTTTTGCAAATTTTCTTACCTTTTCATTATTGTTAATAATTTCATTTTAACAATGCGTGGAAAAAGTCCAATTTAATTTTTCCGACAGTGAAGCAATTTACTAAAATGTAGGCGACAAAACGATTACTATATTAGCAGATGTTAGCTATAAGGAAGTAGCTTGTAACATAAATTTCTATCCTTAATCAGTGCGGTAAATGATATAATTTGATTTAATTCCCCCTAAAAAATATACAAATAAAAACTGTTTCATTTCGAATTATCCAGCTGTTTTATATAGTAAAGTATTAGTTTCCGGAACAAATTTCAACTTTTAGATGGCTCTATTTGATGTGTTGACAAGGAAGAACTGCCCTGTACGCCATTATCAAGATAGGTCAGAAATGCTAATGACAAAAGTGCACTATCTTCATGATGATTCTGACCATATTTTTTCACCATCAGTTTCCTTATCAAATTATGTTCCGAGAAAAATGAATACTGAAAATTTTCAAGCTTATAACTGCAGGACAACGATTGAAAATAAATATCGTTTAAATAAAAATCATTACTATTTCATAATCACCTATGATAATAATGACAATGAATATTGGATTGCTTTAATAAGCAACGAAAGAAAATCGTTAATTTCCGTCATTCTCCCTGTCTCTTTCTTCCCTAGATACAAAAAACCCTGAGGATAAAAATGGATATTAACAATCTCTAATTACCCAAACAATGTGTAGAGGAATATTGCCACAGAGGATCATCTGGCTATAAATGATTCACTTCTAGAACTTTAGCCTCTTCGTACTTTGGTCCGTTAAAGTTATTGCTTCTAAAAATGTGACGAAAAATAAAGCTATCAATCATTGCACAATAACCAGCTGTTCAGCTGTTCCATCAGTACCGCTCGCCAATATCACCGCTTTCAAGCAAATATTCTTCATTGTGAAGAAAAAGCACATATCAATTAAACAGAGTCAAAAAAGTTAAGTGATTGAAAGGATGAAAGTTATATCCCTCTTGAAAGCTGCAACTTATCTGTCCTTGCAATAATCTTATTCTTTCCACATACATTAAAATTCCAAGCTTTTGTATTTAAAAATGATTAAATTAAAGTAAGTACCATGATTACAATTTGTAATTTCAATTCATCCGGATAAAGTTAGATTGCTAACCTCAAAATCGTATGTTCCGTCAGGTATTTCAATACCGCCAAACAAAAATACAAGTCGATGTAGTCCTTCATGATGCGGAATAAATGTTACTATATAACAACCATTAGTTTGTTCCTCAATGTCTATTTCTAAATCATCTGCATCTGCGATAACATTTAATGCACCTTCTCCTCCAGAAATCGCATTTATTATGAATGATTTTGGCGCTCCAACAGTCCATAAATTGTGAGGCGGTTTTACTGAAATATCATCCAAATCCATATAAAACAATGAAATCGAAGTACCAAAATTGTTCATCTAATTTATCGTGAGAACGTGTAATAACTTTAACTATTTGAAAAGTTTATTTCCAATATGGTTACAATTGTAAGTAAAAAACCTACAATCTAAATAACACTTGTTTGCGGAACCAACTGGAACAGCAGTCAACTCATACGGCTTCGAATGCAACGGTTCACCATCACTATATACGGTAATGCTATATGTACCAGCCATATCCGGAAGAAATTCCAAAAGATATATCCCTCTATCGACTACTTCGACAACCGCTGGTTCTCGAAATCTATTATCCGGATCCTATAAATACAATTTAAATTAAAATCATATTCCGTTTCGAGCATTTAATGACCATCAGCTGTTGTTTTTCTTTTTTCAGAAAATAAAATCTTACTTTTACTTGAACTTTTAGTTTGTCAACATTTTCAGCTATGATCCCATCAATGAAAACATGATATCGAAAAGACGCTCGTACTTTACGTGGTAGAGTACCGGGATCATTTTTCAGCACTACCAAATCCGGTTCGTCTTGTTCAACAGTAAAATCCAATGGCCTATAAAGGATTCATTTTGCTTGCACTCCATTGCATGAAGAAAAATTTCCAAAAGCTGGTTTATATTATAAATAAGAGAAAAAAGGAGCAGAAATAGGTCATTAAAAAGGGTGCTCATTACCAGATATGAACAAGTTAATTTACCTTCCATGAAGAAGTTGACCACCGTAAAAAATTTCCATCGGCAATATTCGAGTTGATTTGGCTTTCGGTGTGAATGTTACTCGATATATTCGAGGTTTAATTTCTTCAATGAATGGTTGTGGGAGACCAGCAGGAAGTTTTGCACTGATAGGTTTCAAAGCAGTACGTGTTGCATCAATCAAGAATGACGCTGACACACCGGAACGTACATGACCATTCTTACATCCGGTTATTAGGACTTTCGACGGATCACATGCATAATCAGCCGTTACCGTAAATGGTGAATCTAAAATACTCAGCATATTACTTAGTAATATACTTGAAATGAAATACAATGAAATGATAACAAATGAAATTAAATAGAAAAATATTGAATTAAAAATACATACCTGGAATTTCTTCTTCATTATCGCCAAAATAAATGCTAATTTCGTATGTTCCAGGAGTCTGTGCAATATATTCCACCGTGCATAAGCCGTCGGAATGATCAGTGATGTTCGTTTTCGATTCTGATGGTCCTTTGATAGCCATTTTCATTCTGCCTCCTCCAGCATCCTAAATCCAATTCGCTCACCATTTTTATTTTTGTTTTTGCTTTCCTTCTTTTATTAAGTTTCAAATTCAAAGTATAAATAATAGAATTCGTATGGCACTCCGTACCTTCATATCCACCTGAAATACTGCTGGTACACCAACTATTGCACGTCTAAGTCCATCACCAGTAGCTCGGCACATCGCTGCGTCTTGAATTCGTCGAACAATGATCTGCGATTCGTAAACTAAATTTTCATCGAAGAAAACAGCAAATTTTGTCTCGCCAGCATTTTTAGCCATCCAAACGCCTGAAAATAGTATCGGAAGATCTCATAAAAATAAGAAATTGTCCTGGCTAAAAGTAAAAGTTTCTTCAGTAACATATAACCTCTGAAAATGGTTGAATTATGAACATGTTCAAGAGGAATCATATATTTCGATCCGTTAGCTTCTTCTACAATAACTTCGAGACCATTTTTTATTGGTGTCAAATCACCTGTATTAATAACAATATTCTGCCGATGTCCAATTGTAACAATCTCTAAAATAATTGAATTTCTTTTGTGAAAAAAATTTCAAAAAAAAGACGTCGGAACTTTTTTAATCTTCATAAGAGATAAATAAATGAAAACAATTGACAAAAAATAAATTTTCAAGCTAATTCCCAACCATTATTATCTAAACCACTTATTGCAATCGATGAAATATCAAACTGTTTAACATTAATGTCCATTTTCATTAATTCCATACTCTCATAATATAACGCCAGCTGAAATAAACAAGTAATAATGGAAGTTTGTTAAAATCAAACTGATGATTGTCAAATTTTTAAATAATAGGTATTACCTCATAAGGACCAGGTTCAAGAGCAGTATAAGTCGCTGTAAGTGTTTCATTTCCATTGTCGACCACTTTAACATTCACCACTGTTCCATTTTGATGATATAATCGTGAAAGGATTTTTTTCACATCGGCAACATTTCTCGAATCAATAGTAAAGCTTACTAATTGATTGGCATAAATCTCTGGTCCTATACCAGGACCATAAATTCGAATTTTACTCATATCAATCATTTTTCGAACTGTTACCTGCATGTGACAACAATTATTTACAAGTAAGCCTTATCTAACAAAGTTACAAGAATAAGAATTATTTTGCTAAAAAGTAAAAAAAAAGAAATTAAAATTAACTAAAACTTTCTTTTCTCTCCGGTATTAAATAAAAGTTCAATTAAAAAGAGACCACAAATGGTGATCCTGGAATTGCAACACCTCCAACTGATAGAAGGAAATAATATCGACCGAGAGCATTTGGAGCAAAACGACATTCATACTTTCCAGGTATAATTTCCATCATTTGTATTGGTACTTCTTCGTAATTTTCGTTTACTGCTCTTACTAATGGTTTAAGACGCACTAGAAAAAGAGAAAAAAAAATGCTATTTACTGTTACTTTAAGCGATGATTGAAATGAATCTTTAACATAATTAAAACGTTCCAGTATATATTTTTGCTTTATATATGTATACAACAAATACTGGCACCAATGTTAAACTATAACTTAAACTGGGATTGAACGAACACTCCTGTTCAGTACGTCTCTATGTCTCTCTTACTTACCGATCGATGAGTTCTGTTTGAAGGAAATTCATTGTGCTAAATTATTCCAACTCTACTCACCGATGTCATCAATTTTCAAATTTTAATGATCAAATTAGGCAATACTTTCATACCATTACTACAACCGGCATATAAATATGTCCTTTCCTAAATACTAGAACCTCATAGACTTTAATTCGAACACTTATACTAGTCAATAAGTTCAGTAACTTAGATATAATTATGGCATTATACTATTAATAAAAAGCAAGATAGATTCATAAAAATAAACATTTTGCGCCAAAGCAAAAAATGCTACAGGAATTTAATGGACTGCTATGGTCAAATTGTCCCAAAACATACATCTCGCATCGGGCATTTCGATCCCAAATGTCAAATCTTGGCCTTGTAGAATATTTAAGTCTCGTGTAATACCACATAATCTCATATCGGTAACTTTTAGATTATTGTTGGCTGGTTGTACTTGTACAATGAATGGTGAACCCTTGATATGTCCATCAGCATAGTAAACCTTCACCGTGTAAATTCCAGCTGAGGCAGGCTAAAGATTTTTTTTTTAAACAAATCAAAGCCTTGAAGTTAATTACAGCAATTAATTTAAATTATTATCAAAGGCTAGCTACTAACTGCTAGGAACAAATACCTGTCAACTGCAACATGATCACTAATTTAAAAATCAAAAGAAAAAATAAAAACTCGAATTAAGAAAAGAATTAGTTTGGATACAATCAGCTTTACCAAACTCTTCGATTCCACTAAACAAAAAAAAAACTAAAATAAACAGAGAAAGAATGAAAACTAACAGTGAATCGAGCAAGAGCTGATCCATCCCTATTGTCTACTAATTCTATATCCGGTTTTTCGAAACGATTTCTTGATAATGTCCTCCCAGTTACAGTAACGTCTACAAGTAAATATAAATATCAGTCAGTACTGTTCAATATCTAACCAAACAACTAATATATTAATTGAGAAAAACCTATGCAGACATTCTACAGATGCGAGGAATTCATCATGAAACCTACTGATCTGCTCACAACGACCACCATTTGTTTCAATAAGAAAGATGCATGGTAAATTTGCAACACCACTCTCTAACCCCGGTCCAAACGCGCGTACTTTTGAATTGCTTATTGGTGATACCATTACCTTAAATAGGAATCTCAATTTCATCCGACAATTCTTTGAAGTAAAACTACTGCATGAAATGAAAAACTAAATTTAGAATCAACTATATTTTGCATCACATATCAATGAAAAACGATGGAAGAGAAACAAAAATTCATAGCAACCATTAATAGCAGACCTGATGAGGATACCATAATAGGCATAATTAATCTTAAATTTGAATGCTATCCTTATAACTAAATAATATGACTAAATTGGGATACCAATTCAGTTCCGTTGCTTATCACATTTTGCACAGTTACATATGGCCTCTGATAAAATTGTTTTCCTCCTAATTATTCCGTTAAATTCATACTGAATTAAACATGTATTCACATAAACATATATATAAATTGAAAATGTTATCAAAAAGAACCTTATATGGGCTTTTACCGACGTGTCTTTCACCCAATAATATGCTAACTTCATAAAGTCCAACTTCATGTGGTTGATATTTAAAAATTTTCAAATTCAAATTTCCATCCACCGTTTCACTCACTGATATTTCCTTCCCAGCTGTAGAATATAAATTGTTATATTTATAATAACATAAATTTTATTAATTCTTTCGCTCCTAAGCTATTTCCAAACAACATTTTTCGAAAATACTTTCTCACTTAATTTAACTGAATACTTTTTAACTTTCTATCCGCTCTATTCCATATCCTCTAACAGCATCACATGCTATCAAATCTTTGCCAAAATTATTTCACCACTTTCGACAGACAACTCACATTCAACATCTCAGTTCTCTGTAATTCCGTGCCATAAGAATATTTTAGTTTATCAAAACACGAGCATGAAAATGTTCTTCGCAATCATCACATGAACCTTTAATCTTATTTATTCTAAACTATAACCAAGGCTTTGTAAGATCAATTACATCACACTTACATAGTCCACGAACTCGCATACGCGGTGGTCCCGACAAACTATCACTGTAATCCACATAAACGATTACTTCTTCACCACTTTGAATACCACATGGTTCAAGGCCTCTACCCCAAATATTCATTTTTGCTGAAAACAGAACCATTATTTCATTCCAGTATTATAGTTTTTTTTTACCCTCTATTCCGGCTACCTAAAACTAAAAACGGCTTATATTCAGAAACTGGAATGGAAGAATATAAAAGTATTTACGCTAAAATAAGCGACAAATGCTCGCAAATATAATAATTACCTGGAGGGGTTACTGTGAATGAAAATGGACAACCAGCAATACGACTTCCGTTTTGGAAAACGTTCATTTCGTATAAACCTTCTCGTTCTGGTGTGAACTGACCTTTGAAAGCCTTACCATCAGGCATCACTGGTATTTCGAATTCTTTATCATTTGGAGGAAGCACCAAAACCTGCAATAAATTTTACATCTGCATATTACACTGACATCACCCCTATTTTACGACATAACTACATAACTCATGCTGAACCATCACTAAATACAAATAATTGCAATATATACATCCGCTGGGAACGACTCCGATCAATTCTCTCTCTCTCTCTCTTTCCTTTATGAAGAAACCAAAATGTAGACTTAATACCAAAATATCCTTGGAAGTACAGTTAACGTGAGCTGACTGATTATAATTTAGTTACACAAAAAGTATTTCATACCTCAACCGGCTCGTTCGCTGGATTTTCTATCCTAAACTTAAATGACATGCCAAGCTGTATGCTTCTGTTACACACCAAATGCGCTCCCTCTATTGCTACTATTTTAGGACTTGCTAGTTGAATGAAATTACCCGATATCCCGTCACGAATTACTGCCATAATCTGTAATATCTCTTGCATTTGAAATGTTATAAATAAAATATTTGATTTCCAATACAATATAAGTTTTAAATTTAACAGATAATAGAATAACCTCATGTTCACCAGGAACTTTTGGCTGATAAATCAAATTATAAACAGATTCTGAAATCCGATACAGATTGTACGGCACGGATGATCCTGTCGGCCCTCTAATGTTTACTTCCGAAATCATTGCTGAACTATTCATCTGAAGACGAAATTGTGTGTCAACTCCAACAGTTGGCATCACATCAAGATCACGAAATCGACCCACTGTTGCTGTATATTTGGCTCCCGGAAATTGAGAAAGATATGTCATCACACTCTTTTCGTCAACAGCTGGACTGATCAATTCTTCTGGCGCAATAAGCTAAAAAATCCAATCACAGACCTTCAAAACATGTGCACGAAACAAAGCAAAAAGGTAAAGAGAACTGATCTTGCAATGAAAAGAAATAAAAACGAACAGGTTCAATGCTAAGATAATCTTTAGCAAGATGCATTGCTCTACGAGTTGAATGTAAAGCTTGCGATGGTAACCAATTACGCCAGTCGATTCCTAAATCGGGTGCACAAGAATCAACCTGGAAGTATGGTAAAGGTAAGAACATTTATTTCTAACTTCTGAAGTTTCAGTTTATTTCAGAATGAAGAATTGCAAATTCATAGTATTTCACTTAGTTTTTTTCTATCATATTGGTTATCTTGTTAGTTATTCTTTTGACTTTATTGGAGCGTCATTTCGGAGAGGTCTGGGTTGTTTGGGTCCGAATGAGGTGGATACTTGTGGGCTGTTTCAGGCTTTATTTGATAGTCTCAAGTTGTTGAAGAAGGAGCAATGGAACGATTTTGGAAGACAATGTAAAATCTAATAAAAATAACTAACCAAAGCACCAAGTAGAATTCCATCATTCCAATCGGATGTAAAATTCGTAAAAGGAAGTCCGGATGGTAATTTTCCCTTTAGCCAAGTCATAAGTTTTGCTTTCGGTGATACATCTTCATCTTGTGCTGCATCTCCTTCGTGATCATCCCAGATTTGTTTTGAGATTGAATAATGTAAAATCAGTGTCCAAACTAGGCCCAAAATGAGTTTTAAATTGCGATCTGCTATTGCCGAACTGTCTAAAAATAACCATCTTTCCGACAACAATTGCAATTAATCAAAATCGTATTTCAACAATATCACGAAATTTTGTCTGATTATAGAATTATTACCGATATTAACAATTTTAATATGTTCCTCATTTTCCAGGAATTTCAGCGCGAGCGATATATTTTCCAATTTCTGGTGGCGAAAAGTAACCTTTTTACTGTATCGACCAACAGATTTTCCAGACAGTACCTCTACCAAACGAATTAATTTCAAACCTTCTTCAAAGTCCGTTTCCTGAACAAACTGATAGCGGTTTGATAACTTGTGCAAAATGACTATATTATTGGAATCTTTCTTTTATTTCGCTTCCACTTATTACTAATGTTCATTTTATATCCAATCACCAAAAAATTAAAATGATTTGAGGATTTTTTTCATGATAACATCTGAAAAGGTTTTATATATATGATTAAACAACCATATATACGAACTACAGATGAACAGTTCATATTAATACCATATCGTTTGTAATGGAACAGAACTATCAAACGGGACAATCCGCAGTAATAAACTGGTATCATACATAAAACTATTTCAAGTTATGGTATCATATATAAAACCATTTCAAGTTATGGTAGAGAAATTGGCACAAAATTTTGGTCACTCATGCTTGCATTTCGATTTATTTATAATGAATCGCCCAGCTTCCTTAATGTTGAAGCATAACGATTAATTTGTATATAAAACTTGAAAAAACATCTGTAAAGGACGGATTTTCCTTTCATAATTTAAATATCTTGCATGTTTACTATCATTTCTAAGTGGCCTTGATTTTTAAACTATTTTATACCATGAAATATTTTTTAAATTGAATTTTATTGCAGATTGCTTGGACATTTATCTAGAAATATATTTCGCTTACTTAATATCACGAGTATATATTTAATGCGAACATAAGTATTTTGAGGAAAAAAAAACATTAACATATCACTTCTCAATTTTTAATATGCAAGAAATCAGTTCAATTTCTAGATGTTTGATAAGTTTTATAGTAGAAACTTCAATAATATGCATATTTTTTTATATATGTTGAATAAATAAATTATCAAGAGCGCTTGATGGACGCCCTTGCTTGTATCTTATTGTTTCCTTTGTTACTGATACTTTCTTTGTATTTTATATGTTCATTCTTTTATATGCCCAATTTTTTTTGTTTGTAGTGAAGGATTTCAATGAATTATTATATATTTCTATTGCTAAATTAACTTATATGTTTTATAGACTTTATGTATCGTTTTTTTCCCGTGATACTCGTTATTATAAGATACTGGATTCAGCGTAGAAATTACTGATATTTCTTAACTATTGTTGCTTTATTCATGTTTACATGATTTATTCTAGAAATTTTGTATATTATTGGTTATTTGGAGACTTGAGCACTTCCGTATTACTGTTCAAGTACTTCCACTTCTCAATCCATCCGATGATACCGACAAAAACCAAATGACATACATTAATGTCAATAAAATGCACTTACACATAAGACAATTTACTATTAATGTGATTAGTAGTGTTAATTAATGGTATTAAGTTATTAGTTTTATTAGTAGTAAATTGTTACCTTTTTTTTTAATTAGAACATACCAAATCAGTAACTTTGACATTCACCCGTTCCAACTTCTGATTTACCCATCGTGTGAAAGTGTTCTTTTGAATCCTTTTCCATGCTGCATCCGGTTGTCGATCTTCCAGAACTATCTACAATACATCGTCCATTATTACACATATCTGCTACACTGCCGATATTGTATGAACAATTATGGAAAATTTTATCAGATTATATACTTCGATAATAACTCTGTTTATAAAACTCTTACTTCAAAGGGTTCATCTTCCTTCATTGTATCCAACACTTGTTTTAAATTTACCTGTTAGCTGTAGTAATATACCAGAGCTATAAATGATTAAATAAATGACTTATGAATAAAGGAAAAAGTCAAGAAGAGGAGAAAATTAAGTCAAAACAATGCCCGAAGTAAATTATGAGATGTCTGAGTATACAATGGAAGAAGAAAAGAGCCATAAAATAGTGCTTAAAACTGTTTCGATATCAAATCAATTAAACACGTGAAATTAATGTATTTCTTTTCTAAACACAACTACTGCGTATTGGTGGAAAAAATTATGAGGCCTTTTCATGGAAGGAAATCATGCAATGATTAATCTTATCAGTAACATCATAATGTCATAAAATCAAGTATGCTAAATAGAATCATCGCACGTCGTCGAAGGGAGAGCATTCATAAGATCTTTTCACGAAAAGAAGTTATATAATGCTTAATCTTATCATTACATATAACTTCGTTTCGTCAAAAGATCTTACAAGATCCTTTCCTGAAAGGGAATGCAGTCGGTTGATCGTGTCACTACTATCATTTTAAAAAAAATCATAAAACTATGTCTCAACATACTATACGCAGTTTTGTCAAAATGAATGATATGGAAGTTCCGTAAAAGAAAGAGAAACGATTAAAATGCTAAGAAATGAAAACAAAAAAAAAAAAGTTTTTTTCACCTTTTTACAACTGGATTTTGTATTGACAATGATGATGACAAGAGGAGAAAACTACGTAACGGTCGAAATCTGAAGGTTACACTTTTTTCTTCATTGTTCTTACCTTTTTTTTAAAGATTAAGTAAAACTGATAGATGAAATAACAAGAATGCAAAATTTCATTTTTGCTTTGCTTTTGTCTTGTAAAACCGGAATTCTGGATGTGATCCGGAAATACCGGTTTTCATAAGAGAAAAAAATGTGCACAACCTGTCTTAAAGTTGACATTATTTTTTTCACCAGCTATTGATGGCAAAATCATAGTAGATATCATTTGGAGGTCATATTGTCGTATGATTGATGATTAGTTCATTTAAACCAATTATTGAAGAGAAAAAATGAAAGTAATTTAAATATAAAAGAAAAAAAAAAGTGTTCATCGCATAAAATGATAAGTAGGATATTGATCCGTTAGTGTTATGTCATTAATTTATTACTTGTAATTATTGTGGAGTATTTAATTTCAGAATTGTAACGATGAAATTACTATACCCAGAGGAAATTTCTACATAAACAATTGAATCAATTCACTTTTTCTCCGCATTCTATCTTTGTAAAATGAACTTTTTTTTTGTCTTGTAATGAAAGGATGAAAGATAAATGAATTGAAAAAAAAAAATGGAAATTGAAATGAACGGAAAACACTTTAAGAAATTTATCGTCAATGTTGGAAGCGTTTATTATAGTCATGAAATGGCGGAGCTACTCGGAGTGGACTGAGCGCATACCGTCTAATGGTATGGCAAGAATGAACAATGATGGAAGTGGAAGAAGAAGAATGAGGAGGAGAAGGAGGAGGAGGAGGAGTAGGAGGTGGAGGGAAAGAAGAGCATAA